CCCGCTGATCCTATACCGCAAGGCGTTCTTCTCGTGTTAAAACGGGTGTTGATCCTGAGAGAATCTTAAAATGTGCGTCACGCAGAAAAGATTTCCCTTATCCAGTGTCAAAGGGATTTATTTAAAACGTAAAAAAGAATCGAGGAAAATTGAAAGGGTGAGGGCAGAGGTTGGGGGTTTATATAAGACGTTTTATATTTACAAGTGGAGGCACTCGGAAGGGAAACTCGGGCAGTTGCAGATCTTTTTGAAATATATTTTTTTTTTCCTCGACTTGTGGTGATATCGACGTGAAAGGAACGTCCGTCCTTTCGGTGGAGTTATTCTTTTCTCGGTTTTCCCTGCGGGTCGAGGGAGGGTAAATTGAGTAGATCCTGGATATCCGGTACTGCGGGGTACAAATATTAGACATGTAGGGATCAATGGGAATGTTGAGTTGAATTTGTGCTTTTTGGTTTTTTTGGGTGTTTGCTGGGGGTTTTTAGATGGTACTTTTTTTTTTTTTTTGTCAGTGATTGTCGAGGGGACATAATGGGAATAATGCTATTTCTGGTTAACATTTTGATAGGTGGCTTGGATCAAAGCGGACACAAAAGCAATTCTGGCGATTCACGAGCACGTTATAACGAATAATGGACGTCTTTCTGTGACCCACAATGATTTCAATACGTGGACATTGCATATTAAAAATGCAGACAGGTCTGATCGTGGATTGTACATGTGTCAAGTCAACACGGATCCCATGAAGAGCCAGGTAAATATGTAATGTGGAATTGCATTATGAATATCGCATTGTTTTATGTATGAAGGGAGTTTATGGAGAGGAAATATTTACAGTAGTTGCACCTCGAATTCGTGTGATTGAATGTTGTGAATGGAATTTTTGGAGGGCTAGTGGTATTTATGGGGAATTAGAGAGAGCAAAAAAAATATACTTGAATGGAGCATACACTGAGACAAAAAATTACTTCTGCCAAGGAATCATTTTCTTGGGAGAAGAATTGAGGAGCGAAGCGGTAAACCGGGTGAAGTCGATTTTAACTGTTGGCCAGTTTTTGACGAATATCTCGGAATCTAGAAGAGATACAAAAATTTTTGTCATAACCTTTTTTGTAGAGCAAACTGAGGGTTATAAAAAAGGTCATGAGCAAAATTTTGTTATTTCTCTTAGATTCCGAGATATTGATCAAAAAATGGCCAAAAGTAAAAATCAACTTAACCCGGTTTACCGCTTCGCTACTGAATTTATTTTTTGCGGAGCGTATTTCTCCAGGCCAGTCATTATCACGGAGTCCAAGTCCATCTCTAAATATTACAATTATGTTCAATTATGGAATGATTATTTACATATGACCTTGAATGAACGCCATTGACAATTATTAACCTTTAAAATTATTTCAAATTATTAAACGTTAGAAAACCTCGAATTTGAAAAAATTGAAAAATAATGAAGCGTGTTCATTCAAGGTCATATGTAGCATAGTCATCTCATTATTCAACATAACTGTAATATTTGGAGATGGACATGGACCACCTGGGAATGACTGGCCCAGAGAAATAAGCTCCTAAAAAAATAAATTCTTCTCCCAAAAAAATGATTTTTTGGCAAAAGTAATTTTTTTTCCCAGTGTATTTTACACCAGAATTTTGTATGCATAAACCTGATTCAAGCATTAAAGATACTCGACTCAAGTATATTTTACACTCGAGTGGGTAATGGTATTTCGGGCTATTCACTTTTTTGGAAAACGCCCTCAAACCAAAAATAATTTTGAATCCGCCGATGTTCCATATGCTGCAGAGTGCTTTTCTGGAAGTGGTAATACCCCCGGACATAATATCAGAAGACACTACCGGTGACATGATGGTCCCGGAAGGAAGTTCGGCCAAACTCACATGTAAAGCACGAGGTTACCCAAAGCCCGAGATAACATGGCGCCGTGAGGATCGCGGTGGCATAATCGCTCGGGATGCAAACGGCGGGGCCAAGACCAGACGTAAGTCCCCTCAATATTGCCACCATTTGTTTGTTCCTCAATTCCCAATAACAGCTAGCCATGCGCTCGAAACTTTCAGAGACGACGGTTGAGGGCGAAACGCTGTTCTTGACAAAGGTCACGAGAAGCGAAATGGGAACTTACATGTGCATAGCAAGCAACGGTGTACCACCCACGGTCAGCAAACAGATGATGCTGCACGTCAACTGTAAGTAAACCCAAGCCCACCGAAGTATACCCACTATTATAACTCTGTGTATTTTGGTATATAAGACTGTTGCCTGTAACTGACCCTCACGTACTATCGTCTCTCTCTCTCTCTCTCTTTCGACTCATTGAGATACTCATCGCCTCCCACTTAGCATAATTTTCCAGTGATATTCCCACATTTATTCACCTCTAGACTGGCTTAAATTTCAAAATAACTGGGAAACAAAGGAGAAATGAAGAGAGGAAATAAAAATGGGAAATTAAAGTAAAATACTGCGGGAATAAGCGTGCAAAATTGACGTTGAAGGTGTTGGGCAACGGCGGGTAGGGGGGAACGGCTGAGGCAGTGAGAAAAAAGAAGGTGCAGGGTATAATGGAAGTGGGGAATAATAAAATTACATTTTGGTACAATATATCCCTTACCAACTTTCTTTCTCTCGTTGTAGTTGGGACAAACATCACAATTTGAGGGTTTGCTACATTCACGAATTTTCCTGATGTATTTTTGCTTCCGAATGGAAGCTTTGTAATCGTTCAGATTTAAGTTTAGGGCTTTTTGTGTTATATCGACCCACACTGTTGGAAAAAAAATGAAATCACGTGGACAGTTGACTACCAATTTTCAGGACAGTGGTACTGAATGCGATTTAGGGGGAAAAAAATCATGAAATTTCAGGTTTCATTGAAAATTCAGTAAAATTCAAAAATTTTAAGGGGCATAAACACAAGAATTCCTTAATTTATTTGAATTTCTGATTTAATATGAATATTCAGTGTCAAATTGCATTAACACTGAATGTTCAAATTCAGTAACTAGTTCATTTTTTCGTAATGGATATTATTCATATGAAAAAAAATTTTCTCTTGCGTATAGATTGGATGAACAGCCCTGAGGAAGAATGCACACTGCATTCGAAACGTAGGCAATATTTATAGAAAATTTTAAAAGTCAATTTGCTGAAAAAAGTCATGCTGAATTCCCCAGATGATATTATTAAATGAGAAATTTCTTGAAACAATTTCATACCGACGAGATGAGAGAACTCCGCTGGCAATGGCATCATGTTAATAAATATTCAAAAGTGTCTGGGAGACAATTGTTTTGACGATGTGGTGCGTTGTATGAATTTTTAGTGTGAGAAAGCCAGCGGGGGAATGGCAACGAGACGTTGAGAGAGGGTGGAATAAAAAAACTAAAAAGCGGGGAAAACTGAAAAAACTTTATGCCGTAAGAAAAAGCCGTAAACGCCTAGCCATATCGTGGAGTAGGTGGTAATGTAGGGAAGGATCGAGGCGTTATCTTATCACCCCAGTTGTATCTGTCTGTCCTTTACACCCTCTCTGTTACCTCCACTCTTATTGTCCCTGTCCGTTTAACCGAAAAGCTTGCTTGGATCGTTCCTACCATTTCCACTCACCTCGGGCAGAAACCGCAGGGTTGCGATGCTCCCGACGAACCGACCCGGAAACCTATTACGTACCCGATGTTTCGCTTTGCAGGCTTATTTCATGCCGCAATCGCATCAACTCTCCTCGTATTCATCCGACGCCTGGATATTAGTCCCAAACCCCCGGGAGGAACTGAATTTCCGTCTTCTTCAATTAAAGTGATTTATCATGATTCATTTCACCACTCGTTTCGGCATTCGCAAGGAATGGGGATTTCTAATTGGTTATGAATAGTAAGTGGTGGGAAGATGTTTTGGATTCACGGGTGAAGGAATTCCGGTCTTAATTTGGGATTCTGGAATTTTAGGATTAGTTGGGAATTTGAGAATCATAGCGATAAAAAAAAAAAAATTCAAATAGAATTGAAATTTAGAGAGAAAAAATTCCGATTCGCCCAGCCGGGATACGACCCCGGGTCTCCCAGTTACGCGCCGGGCACTCTTACCGACTAAGCTACCGGGAACCACGGAAATTCTCACTCCAAATTCAACTCAGCACGCCGCCTAACCACCTTTAGGCATCCGCAAAATAAAAAATAATTCTAAGGATCCCCGGAGGAATTCTAGTGCTGCACTCAGAGAAATGAGTCATCCGAATTTTTTATCACACACTGATAAAATGAGTCGTTTATTGCAAATGAGATTCGTTAACTACACGAAGAGACATTTTTAATAAAAATTATTATGAGTCATCGTTTCCTCATTTCTATCCCGAAATTTAGTAAAAATTAAGAGATGATGATTAAATTTTATTCTACGTTAGAGAAATTTTATCCTGATAAAAATAAAAATTACCGTCCCAGTATTGTAAAAATTACTGTACCGGTAGGGTAAAATTTACCAACCGTTCTAGAATTTTCGTTATGTACATAAAAATTATTGGACTGGAAGGGTAAAATTTGTTATGCGTCAGTACAAAATTTCTCTAACGTAGAATAAAATTTGATCATCATATATTAATTTTTACTAAGACCGCCATGATACCGTAGATAACAATGAGAGGAAAAAGAAAGGAGGGGAGGCAGGCTAGAGGAGGGGTTTCAAATCAAAAATTACTTCGATAAAACCAATGAAAATAGAAAAAATAAAAAATAAATTAATCTTTACTAAATTTCGAGATAGAAATGAGGAAACGATGACTCATGTTACACTTTTATAGAACGGTATTAACGAATGGTAGAGTTGAATATGACCAAATAAATATTCGTTAATAGTTAACGAATGGTTCACTTGATTTGCAAAATCACTTGATTTGAGAAGATGCAGTTTCTCGTCTCGTTTCGCGGCATCACTGATCTCAAGAAAAACTAATTGCTATTCACCGTAAGATCTTATTTATTCTTAATTTATTTATTGAATTTATTTGAAGTTCCAAGAAAGAAACATCTCAATAAAAATAATTTCTTCCATCAGCCAAACACTACATTTAATCTGAGAATCATTTTTCCTCCACATCCATTTGCATGATTTTCGTGCATTGGTCGGAAAGGGGTGATTCACAGAAGAGTTAAATCCAAATCATTCCGAAATTTGGGCTGAATTTTGTCGCTTCAGATGGACACAATACATTGCAGAGTGAATTCGGTTAAAGGGCGCGTAGGATTGATTTACGAGCCACTGGCATGGCTGGTTTTCGGCCTTAACAATCCACCACCAAAACCGTCCCCAAAAACTTTTAATTGCTAGCGTATTCGTATACGTATATACATATAGGTATAAACATTTTTGTTTCTCCTCGCTTTTTTTTTATAAATGTGCTCCTGTGGACCTTGTTCCTCGATGAATAGCATTTCCGGGAAATGCGGGAGTGCCCGTACCATCACCCCCGCCCCCCTCCGCCNCCCCCCCCCCCCCCCCTGCAACAGACGATTTGAATATGGGAATGGAGCCTACCTATACGTAACGAATTTTTCATTCACCCAAATCCTATTAGCGCAGTTGTAAATACCAAGTGCAAAAAGTGAATTTCATTTTGGCATTTTGTCGAGTGAGCAATATTTATAGAAAATAATTGGACTGATTTTGTTCGCGGATCAACTTGGCCGATGAACTTAATTTACCGTCGGTAAAAGTTTCCCTTTGTCATGTTGTTGTAAGTCTACTCGAACGTAGGAAGGTTCCACATAAGCGGCTTATGTTTCACTTTGTGCTTGTACTACGGTAGGTAACAGAAGTAAGCACATTACGTCCAATTACTTTTATTCGTCTCGTCGGCATCGTGTTACGTACATCATTTCCGAGAAGATGATAACCAGAATCAGTCAATTACGGAGGAGTTGAAGGGAAATTGTCCGGAAAATGGTAGAGAATTTTTATGTTCGATACCAAGGGGCTACACTGATAGAATGATTCATTCATTCCAAACGAGATTCGTTAACTGTTAACGAATGGTAGAGTTGAATATGACCAAATGAATATTTGTTAATAGTTAACGAATGGTTCACTTGAATGGCGAAAGTCAAGTCAAACGAGGCTCCTCGAATGTACATTCATTAACTATTAACGAATGAACATTTGGTGAGACCGAATAGACTATAACCTCCAACCAAAATCCATTCGTTAACAATAACTAATCCGTTCTATCAGTGTACTCACTCCATAATTTAGTGACACCATGATTTCGAAATGAAGTCGATTTCGGGTGATTTCGAGCGTCACGGAAGGTGATTTCATGATTTCGAGTGATTTCATTAATTCGAAATCAGTGATTTCTGAAAAATAAACTTAATAAATAACAAAGGAGGGGCAAAACGGGTTTTGTGAAATTATGAACATCGTAACTGGTGATACTAACTGGCAAATAATAACGAATTCGTTTGATTCTACGTTTGATTCAACGTTCGGTCCATTTTACTATTTTACTATGGCAGTGAATTCGGCATTTTCCTCCCCCTCTCTCTCTCTCTCTCTCTCTCTCGCTATACTCGCTTATAAAAAAAAGTCATCGTCCATTTGTTTGTCAATTGTTCCAGTTCATCCGATGATCCAAGCCCCAAATCAATTGGTAGGCGCTCCAATCGGCACCAACGTAACTCTTGTGTGCAACGTGGAGGCGTCTCCCAAGGCGATCAACTACTGGACCCGGGAGTCCGGGGAGATGATCATTAGTAATCACAAGTACTCCATGTCTGAGGAGAAACTGTCGGTTTACAGTGTACAAATGCGCCTGGTCATACGGAATTTGCACAAGAATGATCTAGGCGGATACAAGTGTATATCAAAAAATTCTATTGGAGAGGCTGATAGCAGCATTGGACTATATGGTGAGTAGGGATGCACAATTACACAGAGAGAATATAAAATTAAAAATTACTATGTGAACAGAGCAATCGAAGAATATGCCAAACAAAAAATTTAACAATTTCATCTATTTTAACCGGACGTTTACGATGTGAAATTCATTTTTTACGATTTAACATAGTAATTTTTGACGGAGAAATCAGTATAAAATGCACGGATGAAAAAATAATTTATATGATACGTGCGTGTAACCGCATGGGTTTCAGTTGACTATAGTCAACTGAAACGCGAAATAACGCATGACGCGCATGCGCATCACCTATTAAAAGAGAATAACAAGGAAGGAAATCTAACCTCCGAATAGTGAATACATGGAATGACTGAAAAATGAAAAGGTGATTTTCGAAGCAGATAAAATGAGCCAAAATCGTATAATTCCTGATAGTGATGAAGAGTTAGGCAGTGAGGAGAATTTATTTACTGATGAGGAGGAGTTTATTGGTGATGTGACATTTGAAGAAAATGGAAATAAAATATTCTCCGATTTTTCAATTACGTTTTGTATCATATTTTTTTATAATTATAACTTTCTTTTTTTTGCGAATTCTTAATGATTTTTAAAAATTGTATTTTGTAATTATTATAATTAATTTTTTTCAATTAAAAATACTTTACAAATTTTTTGAACTATATATTTAATGAATATAATTAATTTTTTCTTCAGAAGTTCCGCATAATTTTTAAATCACACTTTTTTATAATTATTTTTTTAAATAAATGTGATCTTTTTTCTTCAGTGGGGGGGGCGAAGCCCCCCCACCGGGGGCTTCGCCCCCTGGACCCCCTCTTCTCGTGGGGGGCTTCGCCCCCCACACCCCCCTCCCCCCTCCGCCCCCAGACTTCATCACGCACTTATCATATAAAATAGTATACGCAACACGTAATGTACTATTTCAAAAGTGTTAGAAACGCTTTATTTTTTTAAACCAATTTTTACTATTGGACGACGAGAAATTACTCAAATCGTATGAATTTTTGCCATGTTAAAGTGTAATTTTTTCTTACCATTTAAAACTCTAAATTCCGTTTTCCGTTCTTGGAATCTCCTCCCTCCGTCCACTACGCAATGGCCCGGGTGGCAGATTCTATAATTCTAATAAATTCAATCCGGAAGGATTGGTAAATTTTACCCTACCGGTACAGTAATTGTTACTCTACCAGCACGGAAATCTTTATTTTCATCAGGATAAAATTGTTCTAACGTAGAATAAAATTTGATCATCATATATTAATTTTTACTAAATTTTGGGATAGAAATGAGGAAACGATGACTCATGATAGACTTTTACAGAACGGTAGGATAATTTTTATCAAAAATTTCTCTCCGTGTAGATGAGATCCCATTATAAAACTGGCGTTGAGCGTAAGACCAAAGAAAAATGAATGAGAGAGGGAAAAAATATTAGGGCTAGTCACGTTCACAGAGTTTGGTGAAAAGTTGGCAATAGAAACAATATCCCGCGTATTAGTTATCGTTTATCAGTGGTTGAACCAGGCCAGACGCCATCAAACAAGCAGTTGAGCCTGAAAACGCCAGGAATTGGGTAAGCCATCTGTTGCCAGACATGATCGATAAAAGTCCGGCCAAAGTGTTATCAGCGCTAAACTGCTATTTCGTTCTTCCCATCGCGTGTCTCTGTTCCGCATGTTCGAACCAATATCGTGCCAATTTTTTCTGCCCCCCTTGACCCCTTCCCCCCGGGGGATGACCCTTACAAGATAAATTGAATACGCCAAATGGGGGTAACACTGACGTGTGAATTTTTGGAACAGAAGAAAAAAATTGGTGGATAAGTATCGGAGAATGTTGAAAGCTTGACAGGAAGTGGATGTTGAACCTTGAGGGGTAACGGAACGCCACCGTTTCCTCGGAATTTTCACACAAATTTCGTGATCGAAGTTATTAACATTTTCGTCACTTGTGCGTAAAGTGAGATTTTGCGCACGCGAAGGACTCTGTTAAAAAATTTTGTGTGAACTTTCTGGTACATTTTTTAGAAATTTTTATTGAGTTTGATTACCGCTTAAATTTCAAGGAATTTCGTCATTGAAAATTCAGAATTTCGGGGAAAAATCAAAGAGAACTGTAAATTTCTGTTGCATTGTTCCCTGAAAATGAGTATAAAGCCAGAAAATTCCGGTAAATATATTCCTGAATTTTTAGGACAGTAACACTGAACGGGATTTAGGGGGAAAAATCATGAAATTTCAGATTTCACTGAAAATTCAATGTAATTTGACACTGAATATTCCTATTAGATTGGAAATTCAAATAAATTAGGGAATTCTCGTTTTTATGCTGCTTAAAATTCTGGAATTTTACTGAATTTTCAGGGAAACCTGAAATTTCAGTCCGAATTGATTATTTATCTTATCCTATACGGAGTCTCATCTCAAAGTTATTAGTGTTAATTATATCATAAAGCAAAGGTGAATAGGTAAAGTAAAGGTGGGCCGGAAAAATTCATGAACTTTGCCGTCTTCTTGTGGTTCCAAAAGATGGTGGCAAAAATATGCTGATTTTTTTGTTGATCGCTGCAGCATTCAACAATATACTCCTGAAGAAATTTAAAAATTCCAAAAATTGTTCGTTTTTTGGCGAAAATGTTCTCCACGGTTATCTCAGAATTTCACAATGGTATCCGTCCGGACATCTGACAGAACCTGAATTAAACTCCGGCTAAGCCCTGATTAAATCCCGGCTAAACCCTGATTAAACCTTCATTAAACCCAGACGGGAAACGAATTCGACTTATTTTCTTCATAATCAAATCATCTTACGTTAAAATTTTGAAAACCCCTTCCAACTTCCATTCCCTCCAAGCCCTCCGTAATTCCCTCCCTGTTTTCTCTCAGAAATGCAGCAGACGAAGCGAATTGTTTCGATCCTAATCAAATTTAATTTTCATTCTAAGATATGCAACTTCCGGAGCACTCGAGGAAGGGCAATGAAGTGTCTGATGAGGATGATATGAATGAGTCACGCGAAACCGGTGGCCACAGGCTGAATCGGGTTTATCAAGGCTCACTGAGGGAAAGCGGATCAACTCAGCAGACAGCGGTGGGCGTCGATGGTGCCTCGGCTGTAGCAAGTATCGTTGATAGTAGTGCTGGATCGTACGTGCCACTGTGCTCCCTTCTAATCGTCTCTATCGTCTACACGTAAGCCACAACGAACAGTCTCTCCGGAGTGTTGTAACAAGCGGTCTATTAACAAGTGCACGGTGTTATTCCGTGTTCGAGCGGATGGGTGACCATTTTTTTTATGTATAAAGTAGGTTACATGGGACACTGGAATGATGTTGAGGTAATGATTGTTGAGAAAAAGTGCCAAAAAAATTGAATGTAGCATTTTGTTGGGGACTGAGGATGTTTCGATGAACCACGGTGGCACGTAAAAGATGAAAATCTTGGTTAAAAATGAAAATGGCTGTAGACGTCAGTCTTCTACGCCAGACTCGTACAAGAAAACTCTGTTGTTTTTATGCTTAGTCACGGCTGTACATAATACAATATTATTCAAACACGCGAGGCGTGGAGTAGGAAAAGTTATTTCGTGTACAGCGTGGATGGAATCCCCTGTTGAACTCTATTTTCAATCGTCCCCGTATTGATTTATCATTTGTAATTTATCTCAAATTCATGATCCGGGGTTTACGCGAAGAATTTGTAAATAAGGTCCCGACCGTTTTTCTTATCGTTTCATTCACTTGAGCAAGATGATTCAATATAACGTAATGTTAGGGGGCTTTGTTGGAAATTAAAATTGCGCTGAGAGTTATTAACGTCCGATGTACTCATACACAAAGAATGACGCTTCATATGTAAATATATTTGCTGTCCGAAATCTAGGGGGATGTCGGTCGGGGTTGATGTTATATCCGCTAGATTTTTGGTTTTTTGGGGGTTGGGAGTAATTTAATGGTGAGGGATGAATTTGATGGTTAGTAGATAAAATTTAATGAAAGTTTGAAAACTGATTTTTTCATTTTGTGGATTGGTTGATTGAAAATTAATGCGGCAGCGAAGCGGTGACACCGGTTAAGGATATCCAAGCACTTTGGCTATTTATTCTACAAAATGTATCTTCTCCCGCGTTTTTCATAATTAAGGAGCGAAAACGTCAGGTCATATTCAAAAAACTATTTCGAAAAAAAAAAACACGTTGGGTGTTTTTGTTAAGTTGATTTTTCTATTAAAAAAAAATTCGATTCTCAACTTTTGAGTGGCAGAAGACCATTATGACCTATAAAACCAGATTTCTGAGGAAAAATCACGTGGGAAAAACGAAAAACTTTTTTTCCCGGGGTGCACCACCTCTTAAGGCGATTTAGCCTTTAGCTGAGTTTTCGAGGAATATCTCCGAATTTAAGGGAGCTATCGAAATTTTGGTAATAACCTTTTTTGCAGAGCGCATTGAGGGCTATAAAAAAGGTTATGACAAAAATTTTGCTGTATTCCTTAGATTTTGAGATATTTATTGAAAACTGGGCAATAGCCAAAATCAACTGAAACCGTTTTACCGGTTCGCTACTGAATTTTTCTAAGGAAAAATATCAAACGACATTTTTTGTTCCAACTGAATTATTTGTCCAGCCACTTGTATTCCTATTTGCAATTTATCTTCCTACCCTAAGCCATTATTGCGGTTTCCTGTAATGCTAAAACTCGAAAATTAAATTACGAATTTATTCACCATCCATTTTCCAACGTTTCGAGTGGCAAATGTGACTCCTCTTCAGGGCAATCTATTTATGTTCATCTGAATAAACCAAAAAGAACATTAAAAAACATTAGTACAATATATATTCATAATGATATTTCAGGGGTTAGATTGGCTGAAAGGCCCTTGAATTATTTAATGGATTTTAATCGATTACATACAATAGGAAATATCGTAATAGACGTGGCTTGAAATAAATTTTACCCAATTCCTTTTTTATTTATATAAATGGAAATGAATAGATTGCCCTGAAGTGGAGTGACGTTAACCACTCGAGCCGGTGGCGAATGGAATATGAATAAATTAATAATTTAATTTTGGTGTTTTAACATGGCAGAACACCACAATAATGGCCTGGGGTAGGAGAAATTGCAATTTGACATTTTTGGTTGGAAATTTTCATTGCTATGCAAAATGAAATTTCTTTCACGTGAAGTATTATTTATTGAATTATATTTCGTTCCACAATTACGCTTGAGAAAGTAAAAAATCGTGACGATTTTCTGAACAATTGTTCCTTAAATTTTCTCTCCGTACAGCTGAAGTATACACGCACGAAAAAATTTAATAGAAAAAGTCAACAGAATTCGATTTTTCTATACAACTTATACTTTCCATATATTTCCTATAGAATTTACTCGACTCAAATTTTCTAAGTTTTTTTCATTCTATTTTTCTTTTCTTCTCATCAAGAAAATCAAACGAAAAAACTTGGAAAATTTGAGCCGAGGAAATTCTATAGAAAATATCCCAATAGAATAAGTTGTATAGAAAAATTTAATTCTATTGACTTTTTCTACTGAATATTTTCAATTGACCATTCCAATAGAATCGGCCAAAAACTGATAGAACAGTTCAATAGAAATTCAATAGAATTTTCTACCGAATTCGATAGGTTTTTCTATTAATTTTTTTCGTCCATGATAATAAAACCTTAAAAATGGACTTTTCACATTTGACTATCGAAAAAGTCGAGCAACATTATTTGTTCGAAATTTTCTCGGCTACAAAAAATCTCTTTGCATTTTCCACCAAAACCACTCCTTTTCGAGATAAGTAAGACGTTAACAAAACAGTTTTATCAAACACTCAATAAATTGATCCGGTGGCATATCACGATGTTAAAACTTCGATGCACGAGCCACAGTGCCAAATGCCCCTGAAATTGTCCGCTAGTTAACCAAAAAGGGCAATCGTTTTAATTGCCCACTAATTAATTGACTAATCAAAAGAACCGAACAGAACAGAACAGTCCAGCAGAAGTTGTAATGAGGAGTGACTCACTTTATTATTCTCCCACTAACTGAGATTGCCCCGAGGCATGACTATTAATTGATACCCAGCAAGAGTCTGCCAGCGGATATAACGGCATCAGTGTCACGTCGATAATACGTACATATAAATCTTTCGAAAAGCGTAAATGTAGAAGATGAAGGAGTGCGTGTTCGAAATGCGTCTACAAGTGAATTATTTCGTCATGAATTCTTTCTGTTAACATTTACCTCGTTAATTTCACATCAATTCTCCCGTTGGACTACTGCATATTGCCAGACGCGGTATATTTTCACGTCGTCCCTATATGCGCTTAACAAAGTACATTTTAATGAGAATAACATGTATTAAAAAATTCAAGAGAGACATTTCATGAAAAAAATATGCAGATATTGATTTTTTTTAATCTGTTGGAATTTTCTTCCACGAAAATTCTTCAACACAAATTGGCAAATGTATACCGAGACATTTCTATCGAAAAAAATTGTCGATGAAATAACTTCTATAGACGAATGAAAAATATTTACAGGGGAGAGTGTAGAAAATAGAATAGAAAATTATTATTCCCCATCAGTAGTCCCAATAATAAAAAACAATTAATAAACAAAAGTTGATGACAATTTTTTTTTTGCTTGAAGTCCGTCAAATAGTTTTTCGACTGTTTCATTTTGCCACACTCTCCCCTGTAAAAGAAATCAATAGAATTCCACTAGAACTCCTCTTGAATTTTTTTACTCATAAATTAAACAAGAAGAGAAGAATGAAAAAATCATAATAATAATAATTGAATTTTTACAGTAACAATAATGCAGATGCAAATATATTTATGTGTAGAGTTGTGTAATGTACAAAGTATAAAAAACAACAGCTATAACTAAAGAAAACACGAAAGACCTATGATTTTGTCAATTTATTTGCAAACAGCATGAGAGAATATATATATTGATGAACGAGTGATTTCAATGAAGGCACCGAATGTCAAACACTATCAGTGAGGGAGAGAAACAGAATCCTGAACATCGAAAATGACCCATTGTCGAGTGAAAATTCAATTTTCTTTTCGTTGTTATTTGTGAAACACAAACCGTCGAATGTTCTCGGCTTTTCATTTCCACCTATTACGTCATGACAATAATCATATTTATTTACCATTACATTGACGAATTCGGGCGTGGCATCGTTTGTGCAATAACGACGATTATGGGGTCAATACCGATAATGGTTAATTCTAGAAACTTACAGAGACGTGTATATGTGGAGTGTGTGTACGTGATTGCTCGTATGTAACAACGTTGAATTTTTATTTCCACACGGAGAAAAAAGTTGGAGAAAAATTACCAAACCAAGTCATGCACTGAGTCATGCACTGAGAGAAAAATCGACGTAATATGACAAAAATAATTTCTTGAGTGGAGAACATCGCACGAATATTCGATCAATTCATGGTAGGTTTCAGACAAGGAATCGGCGCTATTCGGGCTAAAGGAGGACGATACTGGATGAAATCAGTAGTGAAGCGGTAAACCGAGTTAAGTCGATTTTGACTATTAGCTAGTTTTTGCTGAATATCTCGGAATCTAAGAGAGATAGCAAAATTTTTCTCATGACTTTTTTTATAACGCTCTATTGGCTCTACAAAAAAGGTCATGACAAAAATCTTTCTATCTCTTCTAGATTTCGAGATATTCGTCAAAAACTAGCCAATAGTAAAAATCGACTTAACCCGGTTTACCGCTTCGCTACTGAAATAATGATATTTTTTTCTGGAAATTAGATCACATTCCTGAAGAGACAATGTAAGTTTTACGATTACCTTCCGTATAGTAAAATTTGCTCCCATTTTCTAGTACTTTTTATCCAACTTCTCTCTCCGTGCATAAAATGCCGTCGCTATGAAGAGACAAAGATGTTGCAGCTCTCCAGGCGCCACTTGTAATCACTCCAAACCAATGCAGAATAACCGTTAATATATTGTTTCAAAGTGAAAATATATCGGTGATTATATCAATTGGCAAATGAGATATTTCGGCCGAATCAACGAGTGCATATCTCAATAAAGAATTAATTCATGGACTATGACACTTTCCCCATTTATTTACCCCTCTCGTTCTATTGGCACATGACATTTAGCGGAGGTTGAAATTTGATGATATTTACTTTCAGATATTAATTCATACGTCGATTAATGAATTGGTATTGCATTTATATGGGTGTACCAACTCCACTAGGGACTGTTGAGTTTAAGGGCATCTGTTACCGGATCGATTTGAATTTCGGAAACGTGACGTTCACACCACGAATATCCAGTGACGCATCTCTCGTTGAACAACTTGAGCAATTTAATCATGTGGCCAAGGTGATGGGGCGAAGGACACTTTGGCGACTTTCTGAATCAAGTTTATACCCAATGGATGGATGGATTCACTGAAAGTATCGTGTACGGTTGGGATTTAAGGTGTTTCATGTAAACAGTCAAAATAACGAAAAAAATTGAAAAATTCAGGTAAGAAGTATCTGAGTATGCTGCACCACTGGGAATTTTTCCAAAATATTCCCAGATCTTGTGTGCCAGAAAAAAAAAGATGAACTATCAATGATTTTGAAAAAATGTTGAAAATTTATTATTGGCTATTTTATCAGCCTCCGCGTTTGTGGGTAATTGTGCTTGATGGATCACTACTAAGAGATAATCTATTATTATGTAAAACCATATGATTTTCTACTCAATTTTATAATATACCCACAGATTCAGTAGTGAAGCGGTAAACCGAGTTAAGTCGATTTTGACTATTAGCCAGTTTTTGCTGAATATCTCGGAATCTAAGAGAGATAGCAAAATTTTTCTCATGACTTTTTTTATACCGCTCTATTGGCTCTACAAAAAAGGTCATGACAAAAATCTTGCTATCTCTTTTAGATTCCGAGATATTCGTCAAAAACTAGCCAATAGTAAAAAACGACTTAACCCGGTTTACCGCTTCGCCACTGGATTGTTCTTCAAATATCTCATAATGGCGAGATAGGAGAGATACTTGGAGAGATAGGTCAGGAGAAAATTTTACTGGAATTTTAATGAGATCTAAAGATTTTCAATGAGATTTAATTAAAACATCAGTCGCTCTCCAGGTGAATGAATATTTAATAAAACTGTCACAATTTGACGAAAAATATCTGGAGATTATTTTTTAGATATCTCCCGATTTAAAATAATCGATGGAAGATATAATAAAAATATAATATAATTCTTCCGCTACAATAAAAGTCCTTTGACATGTTCTCCTAAAACCCCTCATTTTCGAGACAAATGCACAACCAACAAACAGGTCGAATTTGACTTATTAAAGTCGATACACGGAAAATTTTTCATTCATCACTGGAGATTTAGGGATTCACCCCGAAAGAATCTCCATATTTTCATAAACTTCAACCCCTCGAACTTCCAGAAACAATAGCTCACTCTGATATTCTGTCAATCCACTTTACGAAGGCATCAATAAAAATGCCAGATAGTGATATACGGAAATATTGATTTCTACGGTGTACCTATGAATGATTGAAAAATTCACCCCTCCGTGATGTTAGCACCGTCTCATAAATGTAAGTCAAAACTGCTATCGACAGGTGGAGTTGCTCAGATTCTCCGAATTCCATTGTTTTTGATATTCAACAAAAATAACTCCCTTCGACGTTTGCACGTGAATTTAATAAGATGTGCGCGATTGAATTACGGAGCTGCTGAGGAAAGATTTATGCTATTGTCTGAGAGTTCTTCTGTTATGTTCCCTGCTTTCAGCTCTGTGGATCCTTCACCGTCAGAAATTGATTGGAAATCACGTGCGGATTTTCGACAGAACAACAGTGAAATTACATTTCGCAACGTAGTAGATTTTTTGTATTACGAACAAATAATGTAGATTTTTTTTAACTTCAAAAACGTATTTTAACATTTTATTTCAGGATATAAATTTCGTCTATAACCTATTTTTATTTTTGTTACTCGCACAAACTCNAAAAGTCTTGGTGAAATTGGATGGAATGATGATGAATAAGAACAATGATGATTAATAACAATAATAAATAACTTCCATATCCCGGGAAGTTAATAATAACAGTGATGATTAATAAAAATAATAAATAATAACAGTGATGATTAATAACAAAAATAAATAATAACAATGATGATGAATAACAATAATAAATAATAACAAATATAAAATATGAGGCTAGTAATAAATAATAAAGTTTTAGTCTGATTCTTTGCACTCGTCACAAAAAAAGTACGGGGGTCCTGCATTTTCATCAATGTTAGTACAGGTACAATGAGCCCAACCGTTGCAACTCTGGCACTGAATCCACTCCCCACCACTGTCATAAAAACGTTTTTCACAATAAATGCATGGAACATTGTCTGCATCATTGGATTTCTTTCTGATTCCCCTCAAACTTGCCCCCCGGCCCGTTTTGCCCCGTTGGTCCGTTTTGCCCCCCCTTCCCCTATATGAACGGAATACGCCTGGAGAGTGGGAGACGTAAGAATTGAAAAAAAAAATGCTGAAAGGAGAGCAGGAAGGAAGGAAGGTGAGTGGAAGGGGGTCTCGTTGATATTGTAAGGCCTGCGAATCCTTTATACCCGAGAAATCATAAAGGGGGTGAAACGGGAAATAAAGAAAGAGAGGAGGAAAAGGCAGAGGCGAGCTTGGAATTTTTGATGTACTAGCAAGCAGATATGAATATCGGTTCCCCGGAGAATTCCACTGGATGTTGTAGCGACTATTGACGGGGAGCGGGCGAAAGAGGAAGCGGTAAGTAGAGGACTGAAGTGAGATCGACAATCGACCTGACCTCCTGGGGAGGAGTGGAGGGATTGTTGAGCGTGGTGTACGCTACGGCCAACTTTGAGAAATCGCCGTGAAACCAATAAACTCCTCTGCGCGTCAAACAAACGGCAGCATTGTTACAGCCCGACGGTTGCCCAGATCGTTTGTTTGCTTCTATCTTGTGTTCTATCGTAGTCGAAAACATTTGTTTTGTCTTGACAAAATGAAAAATAATTTGCGGAATTGAGAATTCTTTTCTTAATTTCGGACAATTTTTTAGCTGGGACATTGATTAGATTCGGTGTTGAAAGTGACCGGGGATTCCGATAATTTTTATTCATCTAAATAATTTTCAATATTGAGAAGTGAACATCTGGGGGTGGGGTACTGACCGTTTTTGGTGATTTTGTAATTCAATACTTTTTACTTTTTGCTTAAAATTTCACGGAGGGAAATGTTCAGTAAAAATTGCGGAACTCACAGTTCGCTTACCGATTACAGAATAGACTCAGAAAATTTAAGTGACGGTATCGTATTTTTTCACAGGAGAGTCAGATAAAAACTGCGGAACGCTCTGGAAAAATTCAGTGACAGTTCCGTAAAATTTCCTGCAACCCCATTTCAACCCCATATCAAAAATATCTTTTATAGAGGGAAGTTTATAAAAAAAAATTTTTTCCCTGAATTACAAGATTGCTGTCTTATTATTATTATTTCGCTAACGAACTAGTGCTAGTTTAATTTATAATATTTTATTTTATTTTCTTTCCATTTCCGTCTTCACAGAAAAATGTAGTCTATTTTTCTCTTCCTACGGTCGCATTCCAACTATTATTATTATGAAAAGGAGATGAAAAAAAAACAATCAGAAAGGGATAGTCGGCTAGAAAATGTATTTTTTTCTTCTTTCATGGCGGTGGGAACTTCGAATCACTGTTTTTCTTTTAGTATTAGAGGGATATGAATATTTCACCGAAAAGAAATTCAAAAAATGCAAAAAAGTGGGCGGGAAGTACTAAAAAAAATATTTTTTTCAATGTCTCTGGAAAGTTTAAAAATCTATTTTTTTTTAATAACGAAAGAATACTCATAAATTCGATTTCTATCCTTGTCTTTTGGTAGAATGAATAGAATAAACGACAGAAATTGAGAATTGGAGACTAAAAATTTCATTGGATTATTATTACGTAATAATTAAAATTAAGAGTTCATTTTTTGTCTGTGATTATTGAATATCCGAAACGACAAACTACTATCCCTCGTTTCATGAAAACGACCATTTGCCGGGAGCAAAATACGTATGGAAGCATCGAATAATAAATTACACCGCAAAAACGAATGTTTGAATTTCACATATCTTTTGTGGACATTTTTCCGACACTAAAAAACGTCCGAATAAAATGAAAATTTGTCTGAATTGCAGACGAACAGGCGCCTAAACATCTCAATTCATGTTTGAAATTCAGGCAAATTTTCATTTTATTCAGACCTTTTTAGTGTCTGAAAAATGTCTGCAAAAGGAGCGTGAAATTCAGACACTCGTTTTTGCTGCGTAGTGCTACAAATTACATTTCTTGCGTGCACAGAATAAATTTTTTTGAAAAAACTAAATCTATTTTTGCAGTAAAAATTTTCAATCTCGGCGCCCGCTTCGCATGTTTGGCACAACAAAATCCTTTGATCATTTTTAACAAACGAATTTTTTGGCACGATGACTTGTTCGAGAGCTCTACTGTTATTCTGTTAGTGCAGATGCTGGAAATATTTTGCATTCTCGCACTGCTCAATTATTCAATGACATCCAAGATAATCTCCAACTGTGTAACTCAACAGCGTCAATCCCAATTACCGTTGATGATTTAATTATTCAATGTAATATTTCGGGATATTTCGAGTTCACTTGTTGAATCTATTATTTATGCTCTTCAAACATGGATATCAAATGACTAAATTCTTGATTGTATTCCGCATTACCTTGATAATCTATAATTCAGTGTGAGGATGTCAAAGGTATTTACTACTCAAGAGGAAAATTATACCGTATTATGGCTGTTTGTCCCCAATGACTCTTGGAGCTTTCGTGATGCTTGTGTGTTTGCCTCGCGCCCTTTGTTCCTCGGCATTTTCCAGGTACTTTGATGATACAGTGACATGGAGTCCCCCCCTCTATCGTGAAACGCTTGCTTCTCCTCGTGATTATTAGCGGTATATAGCACAAATAACATTAGGGGAATAATATAATAACGTGGGATACCGTGGAGC